GTATATTGTATATATAATTGTTTAACAATGGTATATTGTATATATAATTGTTTAACAATGGTATATTGTATATATAATTATATTTTAGATATGGTTAGACACGATAAAAAAAACCTTCAAGAGGTAAATGGAGCAAAAAGACCTATACTCAAGAAAATGTTAAAGAAGAACGTAGGCGCTGCTTGGGTGTTGCAAATGTGTTTAACATACCTAAAGCTTCACTGGAAAATTCAGAAAAAATGAAAATAATAGGCAATGTAAAATTTGAACAGATTTAATAAAAAATATTAATTTGAACTTTGTAATTAATTGATCTAACCTCTTAGTTTAAATCCTGTTATAAAACCTGTATTCAAATATGTAAAATATAAGTCCTGCAATTTTTTTTTACTAAAATGCTAATTTTTATTTAAGGAGAATCCGGTTCATGGAGGAAGATTTAGAGAAGTCTTCAATGCTGCACAGCAGGAGTATTTAAAATCCTTCATAACAGCAATAGACAAAATGTTTTTTACATCATGAGGAATTTTCTAATTATAAAAACAATATATTTTTATTTGTGACTACTGTTAGCAGTACAGCTAAACACTTTAACATTACCTTATACTTCATTATGCTTAACTTGATGTTTGCATGATGTAAAAGCACAGTTATCGTTTGTTAAAAAATCTGTTCAAAAGATAAAATATGTTTAACAATTTAAAGTGTTTTCATTTTGCACTAAGGTAAAAGTGATCTTGCCCCAGTATAAGGGCAAGATAACATTTTGTTAAAGTTGTAAAAAAATAAAATTACCTTTTTTTTTTAAAAATTAGAATAAGTATATGTTAATTTATTTAATATCGCAAAGAACTACTAACATATTCATATAAACTAATTTAACTCTCCTTGAAAATAAAAGTGAAAATTGAAAGTGGGTTACATGTTCAGTTGCAGATGTGCAGTAGTGTAGTATAGATATGCTGGTTGTTCACGATAGATTGATTCTAATTTTTACTCTTAGTTTCATGTAATTTTTATTTGCGAAACATTTTTGTATATAAAACTACATATATATGTATATAAAATCACACATTTATTTATGTTGTTGCAAAGTATCATGATCATAGAGTTTGTAACGCGTATTATATTTAGGGTAATATAATACTACTTCAATATATTCGTTTAATTTCATTTGGTTGGATTACCGGGAAATAACAAACGGTCTTAGTAGGGTAACCGCGAACGCTTATTGTTTTCTCAAAGTACTCTAGCGTATTTGATAAAACACAGGCGTTTCTTAAATAAAGTTATTATACATTATTTATTTAGTTTATTATTGTAATATATATATATATATATATATATACATATATATATATATATATATATAGGGCCGGCGCGAGTAGGTGTCACGTGGGGGGGGGGTTGCCATTACAACTTTTGCCGATTTAAAAAAATCGTTTTCCAAAATTTGCTGACTGCCATGACGACATATCGAAAAAGTCGACATTTGCCGACTAAGTAGTCTAAAAGGGTCCAATTTGCCGACTAAGGGTCCAGTTTGCCGACTAAAAACCATTGATGGGGGGGGGGGTGTCACACCCTCACACACCCCCACACACCCCTATCGCGCCAGCCTCGTATATATATATATATATATATATATATATATATATATATATATATATATATAGAGAGAGAGAGAGAGAGAGAGAGAGAGAGAGAGAGAGAGAGAGGGAGAGAGAGAGAGAGACATTTTAATTATCTAAATGAAAAAGCCAAAAAAGACTATAAGGCTTCAATATGTTCAGTGGAATTATTTCATGTATTCATTCAAATGTATCATGATCCACCCACGGAAGACTGGATCATGTGTTACAAATGAAAGTCGTGGTCCTACGAGAGGTGCACAAGTTGTGCAAGCACATCCAGAGGTTTTCTCTGTGATTTTTGCACTTAATTAATGGATGTTTCAATTTATGAATAACATTTATTGATATTTGACATTTTATTCATGTAGCATTTTATTTGGTTTGAATAAAATTTATTGAATTTTGTTTCGCTAACGTTTAATTTGTTTAAAATTTTGTTCAATAATATTTTAACGCTTCAATCAAGTTTGATTTTCTTTGATCATCATTTTATTCCCTATTAGCCATTAGTGTTTGTGATTACCCCGCGGTATGTTCGGAATTACCCCACATACGTTGGGTAATTGCTCTTGAGTGTTTCTAACCGAACGGTTAAACTAAATTATAGGCAATAAATATCATTAATATATAGTAATAATTGTCTTTAATTCGCTAAGCTGTTCGCCGTTACCCTACTCTCCCCTATAAAGTTAAATTGCTAGAAATGGTTTTTTTACTAATAACTGTCAACTAATCACACGCGTTATAATAACTAATAATAATAACTAATATAAATAACTAATAACTCGCATCACGAGCTACCCACAACTGCTATTAATTACTTTGTCGTGAAAAGTGAGAAGTGGCATTTATAGTTTTCATAACGACATTTTTTCAAAAACACCTGATATAAGAACACAGCTTACGAAAAACTATCAAATTCAAATAAAGTTTTATAAAAAAGTTAAATAATTACACTATAAAAAATATAAGAATAAAAAGTTTTCATAAATAATAATTCTCCATTCTATGTGATTATTGAGTATTTTGAAGATTAGTTTTAAAATTTCCAATTCAGAGCGAGTTGCTGTAAAGATGCATGACAATTTTTTTCAACTTCAATATTTTCTTTAATTTCAGCTAATTTCCATGCAAGATCAGATTTTGTACCAAGATAATTTTCAAATGTTTTAATGTCATTTTTGTTAAGATATTTCTTTAGTATTAAGTGAATGTGATTACCGCGTCTATACCCTATTTTTTGTAAACTTGTGTAACATTCCTCTATTTCGTTTTGTAACATAAATATTTTTCTGATGATTGCGTTCTAAAAATAAACAAGTTTAAAATGAGAAACTTTGGTTAACAAAAAATTTAAGTGATTATCGTAGAATTTACTAATTTTTTTGAATTACTTTATCATATTGATATTTACTTGTGGTTGAATAATTGATATTTACTTGTGGTTGAACTTACTAAACTTTTTAACGCATTTTAATATTACTTACAAATAAGTCACTAAAAAAGTTTTTTTTTCTTATAAAAAAATTATGAGTATATAAATCTTAAAAACATTTTATTAATTAAATAGACAAAGTTTGATTTACTTGTTATACGTTTTTTTTTAATCTTAAAGACCATCAATTTGATTTGTTACAGTGCAAAATTAAAATAAATAATAACAAAATCTATACTTTTTTAAAACTTTTATCTTCCTCGAGGTCATGAAGTTCAATTTCATAACGGTTAACCCTTAACGTGAGCGATATAACTTTATGCAAAAAGTTGTTAATCGATTTTAAAAATTCTTCAACTTTTAAAGTTTCATGTTTATTAAGAATATTGATGACACTGTGTCCTATTGCCTCGTTTCTGCTAATTTCATTTATCGTTTCAAATTCTTGTTGTTGGAGGTTTACAATATTATCGTGTTGACATTGAATTAGCTTCTTCACCTTTAAGCAATAAATTATAATCAATTAATAACAACTACGCAAATATGCCTTAATACGGATGAACAGTAATTAATTTCAATTAGTTTTTTAATCTATCAACATTAATATATATATATATATATATATATATATATATATATATATATATATATATATATATATATATATATATATATATATATATATATATATATATATATATATATATATATATATATAGGCAATAAATGTTTGATTGATAGCAACAACAATATATATGTATACATAATATAAATATGATGAATAGTTAATAACTTTACTTTTTCAACTGCCAATTCGAATGAGTTTTCAACTTTATTTTCTCCCTTAAATAAAATTTTTAAATAAATTATTTTCTAAATACTGAAATAATATACAAATGAGGTTTCTGGAATAGACGTGTAGACGTGGCTATATCCAGACTGTTTAATTATTTTGTCTAGGAAATAGAAATTCTACTACGGAAAAAAACACATACTGAAACTTTTTAGCCCCTGTGTAATAAGTCCCTGTGTAATAAGGTTAACTATATTATAACTAATATATTATGGTTAATGCAAAAGAATTCAAAGACGCTCTGGATGCACTGGAGAGTAAACTAAGAATTGAATATGAATCAAAGATTAGTAATGCTGTAGCAGATTTGAAAAAAACAGTACAATCATTAGTATTAACAGTTGCTGATTTAACTAAAAAGAATGAAGATTTAAACAACAAAGTTGTAAATGTTATTGTTCCTGCTCCGAATGAAGCTTGGAATATTGTAACAGGTAGAAAATTAAATAAAACTCAATCTCAGATTGATATTATTAATACAGTTTCGAATAAAAATAAAGAAATTGAACGAAGAGAGAAGAACGTAATTATTTTTGGTTTAAAAGAATCCAATAAAACTGATGGCGCAGATATAAAGAAAGATGACGAAAACAAAGTATTAGATTTATTGGATCAAGTATCAATAGATAAACTTCATATGGTTCGTATTTTTAGATTAAAATCTAAAAATGGTATTGCACCAGTAATTGTCGAGTTAAGAAATAAGGACATGAGAAATGACTTTATAAAAAAATCATACCGTAAGTTTAATGGTATTTATGTAAATCCTGATTTAACTGATGCTCAGAGAAACTTGGATAAACAACTCAGGGATAAATGTAGAGAATTAAATAAACCACTTAACCTAAAAGTCGATTGGGACCAAGTTAAAAGCTATCACGTAATTAGAAATAAACAAGTAGTGTTGATAAACAAATAGCAATTGTTGTTCAAGTCATCACAGTATAACACACATAATTTTAAACATTTTAAACATACACCTTGTCAATATATATATAACCAATTAAATAACCCTGATGCAGACACTGGAGGAAGTAATCATTTGAACTCAAGTGCTAATACACTGCTGGTAAAGAAAATGAATCAAGACCTTCAAAAAGGTTTAAAAACAGAAAATATCGATTATTTAACATGTTGGTATACAAATGCGACCTCTTTAAATAATAAATTTGACGAATTCATTGATGATATATCCAGATCTAAGGCTCAAGTTATATTTGCTTGTGAGACTTGGTGGTCAGCAATGTCTACTACTAATATTCCTGGTTATAATCTGTTTAGAAAAGATCGTCAATTTAGTCGTGGTGGTGGTGTATGTATTTATATACAAGAGAATATTAAATCTTATGAAATAAATGAAAAATATCTAATAAATGAAAATATTGAGCAAGTATGGTGTTTGATTGAAATTGGCAAAGAGCAAATCTTATGTGGTTGTATGTACCGGACAGGCCTTAGTAATAGTGAAAAGTGTATTGACATTATAAAATCATTAAAACAAGCATATGTACTCAAAAAAAATAACAAATGCTCTGGTATTTTAATATGTGGTGACTTTAACTATGCAAACATCAAGTGGAACGATGAAAGTTTTAGTGAAATTATAAATGACAGTGACACAACAGCAAGTATGTTTATTGAGTTGTTACATGACTGTTACCTGCACCAAAACGTTATCAGTCCTAGTTTTCAAGTAAAGTTTGGTATTGATACTAACATTTTAGACCTCATTTTGACTGATAATAGCAACAGAGTTTATTTTCTTGAACATTTTCCACCGTTAGGTGGTATCAATCATAGTCATCATATTTTGAAATTTCGATTTGGTTATGAAAATAAACCTAATTTATTAATATCACTACAAACGAGGAAGAAAAAATTTTTGTGGAAAAATGGAAACTATAAAGCGTTAGATTTGTATTTTAATAACATAAACTGGATAAATGAATTTGAAGGACTAAGTGTTAATGAATGTTACGAAAAATGGCTAAGAAAATATGAAATAGGATGTGAAAAATATATCCCAACGCTAAATTTAGATAAAAACTCTTTTCAACTAAAAAATAACTCACTATGGATGACAACTGAACTTAAAAGCATGTGTAAAGAAAAGAAAAAATGTTGGTTTAGAAACAGAAATTCAGGTTTTAAAAGTCTTTTAGAAGTCAATAAGTATAAAAAATTAAATAAAGATATAAAAAAACTTGGCAAGAAAAGTATTCGCAATTTTGAAAAAAACTTGGGACTTAATTCAAAAAGCAATCCTAAAAGTGTCTATGCTTATATAAACAACAAAACAAGATTTAAAGACTCGATCAAAGCCATAAAGCTACATAATGGTATTATAACTACTGATAATCAAGAGATAGTAAACACTCTTAATGAATTCTTTGCTTCTGTGTTTATACAAGATGACTCACCAGAAGAAGTTTTAGATGACAATCTTTTAACAAAATGTTCTGATCCAGATTTTAGTATTTCTCTTATTCAGAAATGTTTGAGTAATTTAAACATGTACAAATCAGTAGGTCCAGATAATGTTCACCCAAAAGTTTTAAAGGAATGTTCAGAATCTTTGTCAAGTTCTTTAGCAATAATATTTGTTAAATCGTTTATTACAGGATCTATTCCAAAGTTATGGTCATGTGCAAACGTTGTTCCGTTATTTAAAAAAGGAAATAAACTAGATCCAACAAATTATAGACCGGTTTCATTAACATCAATTGTTGGTAAAGTTATGAAGAGAATTATTAAAGATCATATGATGGTGTTCCTCATTGAAAACAATTTAATTTCTAAAGAGCAACATGGTTTTGTTAATAACAAAAGTTGTATAACAAACCTGTTAGAAACATTAGATTTAATCACGCAAGCGTATGAAGAGGATATTTCTGTTGATGTTTTATTTTTGGATTTTACTCTCACACGAAATTACTGAAAAAATTATTCAGACTAGGATTTGTATCATCTTTGTTAAATTGGTGTAAATCATTTTTGTCAGGCCGAACACAGAGGGTTGTAATAGGGGAATATATTTCAAGTTGGAAGATGGTTACTAGTGGAGTACCACAAGGTTCAGTACTCGGACCTCTTTTGTTTGTAATCTTCATTAATGACTTATGTAGAGGGATTATTAAAGACACTAAATTATATGCAGACGATACCAAAGTTATTTCAATCAATCATTGTTATGATGATAATAAAATATTACAAGAGGATATTAACAGGTTAGTTAAATGGTCTGAAGATTGGTTAATTACATTTAATGAATCAAAATGTAAAGTCATGTATATTGGCAAAAAGAATCCAAGATATGAATATAAATTGAACAACTCTGTTTTAACAGAAACAATGATAGAAAATGATCTTGGGATTTTCATTTCAAATAATCTAGAGTGGAAATATCATGTTAATTCAGCTATAGGTAAAGCAAACAGAAAATTAGGCATGATCAAAAACTCTTTTGAGTATTTGGATGAACTTTCATTAAAGTTACTATACAAATCGTTAGTACGTCCCCATTTGGAATATGGAGCAACAGTTTGGAGTCCATTTTGGAAAAAGGACATTGACAATCTTGAAATCGTGCAACACAGGGCTACGAGAATTGAATCTTTAAGGGGGAAGTCGTACGAAGAAAGATTAAAGATACTTGAATTGCCAACTTTGTTTGATAGAAGAAGAAGAGGTGATCTGATTCAAATGTATAAGATCTCAAAAGGAAAAGATATTGTTAATTTTCACCATCCTCCTTTAAATTTTGAGCTGGAGCGATCTAGTAGAAGTAACAATTGTAGAATACGCAGACAATTTACAAAATCAAGAATTCGTCACCATTTCTTTACAAACAGAGTTATAAATGATTGGAATTCTCTTCCACAATGGATATTAGATAAAGATAATTTGAACATTTTTAAAAACAGTATCGATAATTATTTCGGTTTCTGAACACTAATTTTTGTAATCGGCTGTCATAGTCTTAATTCTACGTAATTAAGACTCTACACACCTCAAGTGTGTACAGCACCTTTTCTATTCTATTCTATTCTATTCTATTATTATCACTCCTAAGATTTCAGTTGTGTTTAGCATTAACTAATATTTTTTACTTAAAAACTAATTAAATTTGCAATATAATATCTAAATTTTTAACAAAATATCAAAAGTAATGTTGCTGTGATAAATTTGTTCAAGGATCTGCGAACAACCATTTTGAGTTCCCAAAATTTGTAAGCTTAACTCTTTTAAAAAAATATAATTAAAAACTTGAAAAAAACTAAATAAAAAAAATTTCAAGAAAAGTTGAGCAAATACTTGAAAAAAAAGTTTTATTAAAACCAAATTTTGCAATTTTTCTAAAAAAAATAATTTAGTCTTGGTTATTTCCGCTTGAGAATACTCTAAGTTGAATTATCGAGAATACTCTAAGTTGACGTTGATTGAATTTAGTACCGAATCAAACCTAGTTTTTAAAACTTAGTTCAAATCGCTTACAATCTACTATTACTACTATTATCGTTATTATTATTACTATTCGGTGATTTAACTTTTTAATTTACAATAATCCTTCACTATATAATAATATAGCGCAAACGTCTAATTCTAATCTAATTACAACAATATGCAACGACGTCGCAAATGGCAGAAATATTTAACTAACGGTGAAAAGGAAAAAAAGAGTAAAGGACAAGTGAAGGAAATTTTTAAATATTAAAAAGAGATTAGTTAGATATAATGTAAAAAAAGAAAATAATTAAAAGGTATAAACGAACTAAAAGATTAAAGAAAAATAAAACAAGAAAATGAATAAAAGAAAAAAAGAATAAACAAATTTAATCAAACAAAAACAAAACAAAAAAAATCAATTACCAGCAAAGTACCAATTTAAAAGAAAAAAGTTCGAAAAACGTTCGAAATAATAATTAAAAGAACTCAATTAAAACGTAAAAAATCGCAACCAATTTTTCAACACTTTTTTTTTTTTTTGTGGCAAATAATTGATATTTGTTGTATTATTTTTTATAATTATATTAATTATTAATAAATATTATTATATTACATTAGTTATTTTTGTTAAATATTATATTTGTTAAATATTATCATTTTTTTATTTTGTTTAATTTTGTAGAAGTTTTTGTGTATGCATTTCGTTGTTTTAGTATTTCTCTTTTCGTTTGCGTAAAGTTTGTTATTATTTGTGCTAATTATTTTTATTGTTGTTTTCTGCTTTTCTATTTTACCAAGTTTTCTACATTTTTTTTTTATTTCGCAAAAAATAACTAAAGTTTGTTTTGTAAAAGTATTTTTGTTTTTTCGTTATTTTTGTTTTGCAGTTTTTGTGTTTCATCTTAAAGCTTTTGTGTTTTGCCTTTTTGTTTGTGTAAGGTTTGTTTTTTATTTGTTCTGTTTTGCTAACTATTTTTATTTTTGTTTGCTGTTGTTATTGAGTGTTTTCATATTTTTTGTCTTATTATTTAACTTATTTTAGCTTTATCGTTGTTATTATTATTTTATTTATTTTCTTAGCGATTTTCGGTTCATATTTGTTATTTTTATTATTGTTTTATTATTATACTAATTGTTATAATTAATTGGTGTCACTCATTTTGATTATGAGTGACACTGATGTCATCATATTATTTGTATTATTATAGATAATATTATTATTTTTAATTATTATTGTTATAATTATTTGTTGTCACTCCTTTGATCTGTTTGAGTGACACTTTCTTTTTCAAATATTTATTTATATTTATTCTTATTAGTTATACTTTATTATAATTATATTGTTTGTATTATTATAGATATTATTATTATTATTGTTATTGTTATTATATGATTATATATAAATTTTGAAAAGGAAAATAAATATCTTGTTGTTGTTGTTGTTGTTGTTGTTGTTGTTGTTGTTGTTGTTGTTGTTGTTGTTGTTGTTGTTGTTGTTTAAGGATTGATATATTCAAGACCATAAAAGTTATAATCATTATAAATGTAGCAAATTCAAATATATAGTGTAAAGTTTTACCATTTCAAATTCGGAAAGCAAAGTATCTTTTCTTTCGATATTATCAGTATAGTTTATGAATTTATTATCTTTATCTTGCATTAAATTGGGCAAAGATGTACTTAATTTTTCTAATTCACACAGTCTGGATTTAAAATTTTCAAAGGATTGGCTTTTCGATAAAGGATGAATTGGCTTGATTGTTATAACTTCTAACCCGGTCTAATTTGAAGTCAAAAAAAAAATTATTAGTAATATTTTTATAAAAAAAAAGTTACATGCAAATGCTGGAAAATCAAAATTTTACCTTATTTTTTTGAGAAATGTTTGATATGCTTGTTTTACTGAAACAACTTTGACTCCAGTTTCTGGACGATGTGTCAAGTAAATCCTGGTTCGTAATATCAACTTTGTTGCAATTGACAGCAGCTAAAACATCAGTTGAAGTTATAGAATTAAGTTTTTCCAACATTGATGACAAATTGCCTTTTTCTAAATTATTTACTGCTTCATGATTCTTAAAATCATTAAGTTCAGAAGGTATATTACTCCAAGTAGAGAAATCTTTAATTTCGTTTATTGAGCTACATTTTAAATACAATAATTTACTTAATTATACGCATTATTTAATAAAAATTGTTATTTTCATATAATCATTTTCATTTATTAAATTAATATAAAAATCAATTTCATTTATGAAACTAACAAAAAATCATAATGTTAACTTAATTAATGAAAATAAAACTTGACAAACTCAAGAAAATATTATAACAATATTATTCTCATTTGTATTTATTCTTAAGTAATTTTTTAAAATAATTATTAAAAGTTCACTTACTTTTGTTCTTTTGTTTCTGTTGATCTCACACAACAGCAGAGGTTTCTTAGAATAGAAATAAATTTCTTTTTGGTGGAAACCATTTTTTCAATAAAAAAATGAAATTTGTTGATGCAAAAAATGCGTGTAGTAATCACTCGTTACAATTATAATTTGTGATTCTGAATCAATAACTTATCTAGAAACTGGTTAATTTGACGTAATACAAATTTGACGTCACATTTTACCCTAAAATATATTCTCTATGCAATGACTTGTTTTTCAAGAAATGCTTCTTTTTTTTTTTTTTTTACCGAATATGATTCGAAGAGCCCTAATGATTATTCGAATAAAATTTAATAATGGTTGACTTTGTTGCCAGCTGTTAATTTTTTTTTAAATATGTTAATATTTTTCCATTCATTTTTCTCTTGAAAACATTTTTGTTAATATACGTATATTGTTAATATGTAATATACGATAAATACTAATTCTAATACGTTAATAATAATTCTAATACGTTAATGAATGAAATATATATATATAAAAAAATGGTAAAGAAAGAAAAAAAAACTATTTAAACAGCGGAACCTCGATCGCAATTCAAGATATTTTTTTATTTTTTCATATATTTCTTCAGCTTTCTTTCATAAATTTTTTTGGATTATTTATTTTATTATTTATACATTTTTCTTCAGTTTTTTTAGCGTATATAGTTTTACTAATTATTTTTTGTTAGTCATTTGTTTGTTTTTTTAGTTTTTGTTTATTTTGTTTGTAATTTTTGTTGCAACTGGTTTTGTTTTGATTTTCTCAGTGTTTTTTTGTTTATATTTCGTTTATTTGTTTGGTTATAATATTTGCACATCAGAGATCATACCTTTTCTTGAATATGCTTGGGACAAATTAACTGGAATCAAAACTGTTGATGAACTTTAAAGATTTTAAAAGTCATTAATACAAGGATAATGTTTGTCTGAAAATTGCAATGGTGCTCAAACCAATTTTCAGACGAACGAATTTAATATTATTAATTTTTTATGCACAACTTAATTATTTATCGACTATAAATGTTTATTCTTTATGACTTATAAGTTGAATATGAGTATTATTTTTTCCTTACTTGATTAAAAATTTAAAATATAAGTTTAAATTTTAAATTGATTCATAGTTTTGATTTAACATGGAGGAAGTCAACTTCTACTTTAGCCTATCAACATTACCAAAAAATGAATATCCTGATGAATAACGAATAAATGGTGGGGTATTTACAATTATGCTAGCCTCGATAAAGACACTAATAAGCGGGATTTGGCTAGGTTCTTAATAAAAATATTGTGCGCACCTCCGTTAAGAGTGAACCTCCTGTTAGCACAAGGGGAAAAATATTTTAACCCCAAAGAAACAGGCTGTTGCATGAGCATCGAGTACAGATTACGTTTTTATATTATAGTTTGCCTGATTTCTAACAATAGATAATTAATTTAAACACAATAAACTAATAAGTATGATAAAAATAACTTTCCTCGTTTGTAATTAGTAACTTTATAAATAGTAATTTTATTATACTTCAAAGTACAAACAAAATGTAATCTAAAACATTGTTTATAATATAATTTTAAAGTTTATACTTGATTAAGTTGACAAGATTCTAAATAAGTTTTATAATTCACACCTTAATTCAACTATTAATTAGTAATTACTAATTAGCTAGTAATATTTTTTCCTTATAACATTAAACTTGTTTGAACAAGGCATAGCTACATCTTAAAATCCTATGGCATAGAGTAATTTATAAAAAAAGCCTTTATGATTTGTTATAGTAAAATACCTTGTGTGCAAAAATTCTTATAACTGCAGAATATATATTTTGTAATATGCAGTACATAAAATAGTTGCAGTAAAATGTTAAAAAAATGTTTTAAGCAATTAATATTATAATAAGCTAGATATGCAAGATAGCAAATTTTTACATTGTAAGTGCAAAAGTTTCGGCTTCTGTAGAGTGACTTCGGCCGAAACTTTGGCTTCGGCAAAATCTTAGCTTTGGTACATCCTTAGTTTTGAGTATATACTTATCATTCGCTAAGTATTTTTGAGAAATGTAAATTCTATGGCCTATCTTCT